ACTTACTAAGTTATCTCATAGTTTTCCTTGTCCACCATTTCAGGAAACGAAACTAAGGACGGGGAAATCGAGGGGAGTGACGAGTTAGAAGGCTAATCATTCAATTGGGGTATAAGTTTTAGATTTTATCATCCTTTTGTAAGGTTGATTTTATTCATGAGATTTTGTGATTTGAATAAGTTCCGAGCCTTGTGCACTTGTGGGACCTGTCTCACGAGTGCATGGCGTCTGTCGCGTCCCCGGATTTGGGTTCTGGGGCGTGACAGTTTGTAACCTCCCACTAGCGGGCACACAATTAACACGACCATATTGGAGACAAAACCAAGCAAACTTTACAAACAAAACCGAAATTCACAATCGTTCTCACTTTCAAAAATAAACCGAAGAATCTCATGTGGGCATGCTCAATTCTAGAAAAGAAGGAAAATGATAAAAGTTCAAATTCCCTTTTTAATCATGCTCAAATGCAAATAAATCCATTTAAACCTCGCCACCATCTCAGAAAACAATTAAAATATGCTTCAAAAATTTACGGGTTTTACCATAATTTACTTACCATAATTTACTTACCTTAATCACGCAAACAAAAGGCTTAATCCAAGTGTTAGGATCACGGGGCAATCAAGGACCTAATCACAATATTCCCAAATTAATATCTATAAGGAAATTTTATTTCTTTATTTATTTCCTATCCAAAAATTGGGCATTCACTGGGATTGGGTATTTATCTATATATATTCAATTACAAGATTACACATATACAATTTTCAAACTCATGGACAAGAATTTGGGAGAACTGGCCTTGACAAAAAAATGGGCAAGTCTCGAGAATTTCCTCTTTTTCTCTCGGGCACACATACAACAGCCAAATTAAGGATTTTCTACACAAATTAACTCAAAACTCATTGCAAGGCTACCGGAAATTAACCCCCCTATTCCCAGCAAATTTTTGGACTACCCAGCCCCCATTCAACCAATTAACCTCACAAAGCAACAATTAATCCATCAATTTTCGGAGATTAGAGAAGCCAACTTACCAGAAATGCTGAGCAAGCAAAGCTGGAGCTGGCGGGTATGGGAGGAGCCGGTGGGAAAAATTGGGGAACTTCCACGGGCCACTGGCAATTGAAAGAACAACAAGATTAGAGTGACCCAACATAAATCAAGGCTGAAAAGAGGAGTTTCTAGGCTGATTTTACCAGGAAAAACCGAAGCTTATACCCAGCAACAGCCAGCGGCAGGGAAGGAAGAAGGCAGCAGATCTGGGAAAATTTCTGCAAGAGAGAGAAGTTCTAAGTTCTAGACTTGCTCTTGGGCAAGAGGAGAACAAAAATCATCAAGTTCTCTTACCAATTTTTCGAATGAAGGCGCTGGAAATGGCTGGTGATGTTCGGCTGCAGGGAGAAAGGAAAACAGAGCAGACATGCGAAAATGCTGGAAAGAAAGAAAGAAAGAAAGAAGAAAAAGATAAAGGAAATGAGTTAGCCGACCTTATCTAATAGCCTTTTAACCCCTTTGAAGTTTGAAAAATTGACAGTTAGGTTCATTAATAATGTTTTCTCACTATTAAGTCCCTAACTCAACTTATATGCTCTAGGAAATTTTGGGGTATTACATTTGAGGTATGTAATTTGGGATAAATTGTTGTTGAAAAAAGAGGGTGATCTTCATTTGGTTAGTTCTTCTTTATACACTGATAAAAAATTGTTATTTCATGTATGAAAGTGGATCAAATCCTGAATACAGTACCTTTTAACATTATTTTCCGTGTCAAGTTCCACCACTTAAGGATACATAATAATCAGTGGCGGTCACTTATTGAGTTGTGTAATTCTCGTGCATATGTGTCAACTTACTACAGAGAATTTATTGCGTGGTGAAGGTTTATCTGTATTTGGATTTGAAAAAGCAAAACCAGTGACATGTTAATGTCAAGTTGTCACGCCCCAGAACCCAAATCCAGGGACGTGGCAGATGCCGTGCACTCGTGAGACGGGTCCCATAAGTGCACAAGGCTCGGGATTTATTCAAATCACAAACTAATACCATCAAAATCTGAAGATCAAATTATAAAATCTCTCTGATATCATAAATCTCCAAATACAAGATCATGATTTATTTCTAAATCTATGCTCAATCTCGAAATGGCTAGCCTTCTAACTCGTCACTTCCCGTGATTTCCCCGTCCTCGGTTTCACTTCCTGAAATGGTAGACAAGGAAAACTATGAGATAACTCAGTAAGTAAATATGGATAGCCCTCGGGTAAAACTTTTAAACATGCCAGACAAACCATGTAAGCATAACAGAACTTTCAATGATAAACTGTTAAAACAGAATCAAATTCAGTTCAATAACAAATCGTTTCATGACAAACCATTAAAACAGAATCAGATTCAGTTCAATATCAAAGCCTCATGACAAACCGTTCATGCAGAATAAAACTCAGTTCAGTAGTCTCATCTATAAGTCATGGCCAGCGTTTATAAACCTCCCACTGGCGGGCACAGTAGTTGCCAATGTTTAACCCCATAGGCAAGGTTACAGAAGTGCCAGTGTTTAACAACTCCCACTGGCAGGCGTCAGTAATGGTGCCAGTGTTTACAACTCCTACTGGCAGGCGACAGTAATTACCAATGTTTAACCCCCATTGGTAGGGTTACAGAATGGACCGGTCATATCAGTAAACATGTCGACATGTGCTAGCGTTTATAAACCTCCCACTAGCGAGCACAGTAATCAGTAATCATGACTATATCTGAGACAAAACCATGCAGAGTTTACAGAGAACCCAAGTTTCACAATCAATCCCAATTTCAGAAATAACCAGAAAAATCCATGTGGGCATGGATTTATCAGAAAACTCAGAATTTGCAAACTCTCAGTTCATCAAAACAGTTTAGTCAATTCCAAATAGGCATGCTGTACTCAATACCAATGAAAACAGTTTCATTTCAAACCAATCATGCTCGGTGCAATAACTCCAGAAAAAAAAAACAATGAAATTCTCACTTTTCATTTCAATCATGCTCAATTCCAGAAAACTGTGAAATTCTCATAAAAACCATCACAATTTCCATTCCAGTTTAATCACACTCAAATGCCGATAAAATCAATTTAAAGCTTGCCACCATCTCAAAAACAATTTAAAACAAGCTTTAAAATCGAAGGGCTTTACCATAATTTACTTACCTCACTCACACAGAACAGAAGGCTAACCCAAGTGCTACGGTGACAGAACGATCAAAACCTAATC